CTGGCGCAAGGCAGGCCGCTGGCGCACAGGAGGGCGCTGACACAGGGCAGGGCGCCAGCGCGCGTAGGGCAGGGCGCTGGTGCAGGGCAGGGCGCTGGTGCAGGGCAGGGCGCGGGCGCAGGGCAGGGCGCTGGCGCACGGCAGGGCGCTAGCGCGCGCAGGGCAGGACGCTGGCGCAGGGCAGGGCACTGGCACACGGGCTGCAGCAGTGCGTGACGCGAGGGGCAGCACGGCGCGACACGCAGGCTGCAGCAGGGCGCGACGTGCGGGCTGCAGTAGGGCGCGACGCGCGGGGCAGCAGGGTGCGACGCGTGGGCTGCAGCAGGGCGCGACGCGCGGGGCAGCAGGGCGCGACGCACGGGCTGCAGCAGAGCGCGACGCGCGGGGCAGCAAAGCGCGCCACTCGGGCTGTATCAGGGCGCGACGTGCAGGGCAGCAGGACGCTACGCGCGGGCTGCAGCAGAGCGCGACACGTGGGGCAGCAGAGCGCGATGCGCAGGCTGCAGCAGGGCACGCCGCGCAGGGTAGCAGGGCGCCGGGTAGGGCAGGGCGTGCGCGGGGCAGCGCGACGCGGGGCAGGGTAGGGCGTGCGTGGGGCATCGCGACGCAAGGCAGGGTAGGGCGTGCGCGGGGCAGCACGATGCGGGGCAGCGCGACGCACGTCAGGGCAGGGCAGGGCCCGCGCTGACGGCGTAGCGCAGGGCAGGGTGTGGGGTAACGCGGTAACCGCAGTCGGTCACTAGGTAATGGTGGGCCCGGAAAAAACAGTCCTACGGACCTACTGCTCTGATTCCATGTCAGAAACTAACGAGCAGGAATGGATGAACTAGCAGCAAGATGGGTACAAGTAGGAAACCCTAATTGGGTTGTACCCCATATAGGCTACCCCACTATAGCCTACACAATAAGGAACATATGAGTTTGACACAGCAGCCTCTGCTGCTGCTGCTGTTGCTGCTGCTGCTGCTGCTGCTGCCGCCAGCCTCGCGGCCAGCATCACAAGGGTCTTCCTCGTGCGCTTCACAGGCCTTTGCGCATGCACCATCACCACATTCTTGGCTGGACGTCTCTTCTTCGCACCTCTCCACAGCTCTACAAGGGCGGGCCAGTCAGGTTCGTACTTCAGCATGGAGATGGTCATCAGGTCTCCAAGCTTCGCGTTGTTGAGATTGCCGCGTAGCCAGCTCTTAATGACGTTCTGGCGGGAGAAGCCCCGCTCGCACTCCACGGTGCTCAGGGGCAGCACTGCGACCGCCATCCAAAGGCGGACCAGATTGGGGTAGGCCGTCCACCAGTCGGGCGAGTTGAGCATCTGCTTCAGGCCGTCCTTGAAGCTCAGCTCCTTGAAGCTCAGCTCCCGGTGATGGGTCGACATGATCGTGGTGAAACTGCTGATCTCCTTCTATGCTCTCGTCCAGTTGATTCCTGGTGGCGGGGTGTGAAACAGAAACGATTATAATAAGAATACGAGCTGTTGTTCTAAAGTAAACAACCTCGTGCAACCAACGAAGCATATGGCGACACAAACACCATAGACAACTCAATCAAGCACAACCGAAATCAAAGACATACCAGGCAGTGTGTCCCGGTCGGACGGTTTCCGCTTTAACAGATTGCGGAGAGCCTCCAGCCACTGCAAAAACTGACGCTGTCGCTTCGAGTTAGATTTCGGGTACGCCCCCTGCGTGAACAGCTTGGCGCCGTCGAGAGAGCCCAGATCCTTCATCCGGCTCTCCAGTCGCTTCAGCAGCTCCTTCACGTACCCCTTCACCAGTGTGATGCAGTCGTCTTTTCCGACGAGGCATGCTTCGCCAAGAAGGCGCTCAGCTCGATGCTCCCATCTTCGAAGTTGTCCGCGTCACTGAGGTAACGGTTGCGGAGGGTGAGCCTACTGTTGTCCACCATCTGCAACACGTGTGTCACGTCGACCTGCCACACACACATGAGAGGCAGTGGAAAGGCATGCACGGGTCTATATCACAATAACACGGTTCATCTACACAAGAAACTCTTAACAGCAAGAGGCGTAACAGCGTACCTGCCGTCGCTGGAACTTGAGGTTGAGTGCGTTGAGTTCCTTCAACACATCAGCCAAGAAAAACAACATGAAATGGAATTTCAAACTGGTTATAAGGAGGTACGCCTTCGGGTTGTTCTCGTACTACCGAATGACATCAGCTGGAAGGTTGTCAGCCAGATGCTGAACCGCCAGACCACGTGAAAACCACCTGCCGCTGTGGATGCCATGCAACTCTAGGTTCGTTTCACAGAGCACCTCATGCAGCTCTTTGAAGTGTAGGTGGAAGTTGCCCGACCGTCCAAGGAGCTCCGCTAAGGAACGGACGACATGGTCGACGATGTCAAGGTGGGGGTAGGCCTCGGCTGCATCCATTGCCGCCAAAAGCTTCCCTGACACAACACGGAAAAAGCAAGAAGTTAGATAAATATGCAACGCATAAATGGTAGGAATAACATCACAGGGTTACAAACCTGTGCGCGATGCAGTGGAACCCGGCGAGGTGTGGAATCCATGCTTGAAGGCATGCCACCAGGCCTGTCTGAGATTCGACCATGACGCTTGCACCGTCGGTGCTGATGCCACTGATGCGCTCAAGGTCGAGCCCGATAGACTATAGGTGGGTTAGAAGGACTGCCTGCAGGGAACCAGCATCGCACTGCTCAACTGTTAGGTGCGCGAAAAAATGTGTGACGGGCGTGTTGCTATGGAGAAATGACAGGTAGACGATAAGGTGCTTTCCGCACCGACGGTCTGTGCTCTCGTCCAATTGAATGCCCAGGTAAGGACTCTCCCGGATATGCTTCATCTGTTGAGCGCGGAGGGAGTATCTTAACCAACTGCGCGAACCCATACCTGCAATGATTTGAAAGAAATTAATTAATAACGTGGTTTAAACCGGACGGTCCCTCGAAACTAAGAACTTACTCGCTGTAGTACGTGCCGGAATCCTTCAGGGGCATGTCGGGTGTGCCCATCTCTGCCATGAACTGGACGAGGGTCACAAATAGCACAATGGGTGAGTCGCTTTTGCAAATAAAGATAACTGTTGCCATGAGCTTAGCCAAACGGTTGGCTTCTGCGTCACCGTTTTCGAAGTTGACAATCGACTTCTGAGCAGCATTCTTGCCGTCTCGGAGCTGTTGGCGGTCCACTGACGCCTCATACTTGATTGAATGTTGGTGTTTCCGCATCGTCTGTCGTTGATTGTTGAGCCCACCTCCCCCGTCGCGCCCGTACTGGTAGCTGGGGTCTCCGTGCACCATGAGGTCTGCGAGATGATGAGCTGCGGGAAGTGCTTGGGCCATTTCTCGTTCGCCTTCTCCTGCCTGTGCTTGACGGTCAAGGCGCGGGGATACGTCCTCGTCGGCGGCGACTGGTTTGATGGGCCTGGACGAGGTGTGCTAAAGCGGGGGACGGTAGCTGGGGGGACACCTGTAGCGGGACGGCCAAAACTCAGAATTCGCTGTTTGTATTTGCCGTTCCCTGCTCTAATGCAAGAAATAGAGGTTGCAGGTAGAGTGGTAGCCACAGATGCCAAAACGGGCGGCGGCAAAGACTCAGCTTCAGCCGTGCTAGGCTGGGTCGAGGTGTTTGCCGCATCTGACGTGGATGGCGAGGGGATGATAGGCTAGTTGTTGTAGGATGTAATGACGTTGGGGGGAAGAATTACAGGAGGAGGTGTCTCTACTGCGGCAGTTGTGGTCACAGGAATCGCGGCCGGAGCTTTATGCGTTAGGAAATCTAACACAGATACCCTGGGCTCCTCAGGCACCGCGGGTGAATCACGCCTAGCGCTGTTGGTTGAGGTGAGGGCGCCATGTTCGGATAGCATGGCCTGGTGTGGTGAGTCACATGAGGCAGCAACAACAAAGCCACTCTAGACGGGATGGGAACAAGCTAAGGGGAGAGAGCTAAGCCACGGGCTAGGCGTCACGTCACGGATTGAAAGGCAGAGAAGACGGTTGTCAAAGAAAGGCTTGGAGAAGAAAGGAGGGGTAGGGACCATCTTGTCACGAACCGCGCCTCTCTCACGAGGGTTTCACGAAAGTGCAATGGCGGGTGCATGCTTTGTTTGTTGCGCACCGACTGTCCAAGCACTCTGCCACCGAGGGAAGGGGCCACAACCTGGCAGCGGCGCTGACAACAGCTACCCGACAGATGCGGGGCAGCAACTGAGTCAGATGCAGAATGCGCTGGCAGGAAGAATCCGAAATTCACCCCTGTGCCCACACGCAAAAATCATTCCGCGTGATCATATATGCAACACATCGCTGCTCCAATGGCCAACTGGGCCATTCTGTCTCTTTCAGACGAAACAACACGCAACTTCTGCTTGATCAGACTAATTGCTATAAGTTTCCTGAAAAAACATATGACGATATAGCATTTGTCTGGGCTCTCATATGGCCCCTGAGCTAAAGTCTTCCGCAGCATATGAACTACACATTTCGTGCCTAAACCCTAGACCAGCAGACTAAGTTAGTCGGCTAACGAGAGCCCTGGCCGCAAGCCCGCTGGCCCGGTGCCTGAGGGAATCCCTTCCCCAGGCGCCACCTCGTACCAAGCTCCGCGTGACGTCCCGACGCGCGGACGCCGCGACGCCTCCAAGGTCGGATCTTTGCGCGTCAACGCCGACAACGCGTATGGTGTTGACGCCGATGATAGCGACTACAACGAAAACGCCTTCGGCACTGACGACGAGGCGGACTCGGGTGAAGAGGAGGAAAAAGGGATGTTTGACTCTGAAGAGGACGATGAGGCTGATGACGCAGTGGACGAGAACAAGGAAGCACCTAAGGAGACCTAGCCCGAGGCTCCGACGACTCGCCGCGGCCGTGGGAAGTCTGCTTCCACCGTCAAGACCGCCGCTAAGGGTGGCGAACCTGCTCGTCCCGCTCCAAAAACCCTGACCCACGTCCCTAAGAAGCGTATCGTCTGGTCGAACCTGGAGAGCACTATATTGGTGGCCGCGCGATGGTTTATGAAGGACGAGCTCGAAACGCTCGTCGGCAAGCAAGGCTCCCAGTATTGGGCTCGCCTCATCAGTTACATTGAGAAGGAGAATCCAGGGTGGGTGCGCGGCTCCAACGCGGTGCAGAAGCAGTGGCGCAATCTTGTCTGCATCTACAAGCAGCTCAAGAAAGGGGAGAATGCGTCCGGCAAGGGCACGGTGTTCAAGCCGCTATGGTTCCAGTACATGGAGCTCTATCAGCCCAACCGTGCCGTCGCCAACCCGCACGCCATGGACGGCGGAGGTGCGACACATGTCAATGTCCCTTGCGGTTTCGTGGTGCCATCTACATTTGCACTGTGCACGTCCACGCCAACGTTCTCGGGTGAGTCGTGTTTCAAATTTTTTTTTTTTTTCTTGAGACTTCAAGTGTGTTTGACGTGCTCTATTATTTTGCGCCGTTTTACAATGGAGCCACCATCAAGCCTACAAAGCATAATCCACACTCCCCCTTGTGGCTGCATGTCCAGCCCCTCCTCCGCAGACTGCGCCTCCTTCCAAGCGCCCGCAGGTTGCGGAGACTGCCACCATGGCGGCCGCCAAGCTTGTCTGTGAGACAATCAAGGGGTGCCACACGGACGCAATGAACAAGCTCAAAGGCCTCGTGCGCGTCTGGATGTAGCAAGACGAGCGGATTGCGCGTGAATGACTGCAGCAGACCGTGGCAGCTGCCAAGACGCACAACCACGTCCCCGCGCCTGTTGACACACAGCCCGCGACGAGGGATGGTTCCGTCACAAGGGGTCGGCAGACGGCGCGGCTAACCCGGATGCGGACGAGGAGGTGTGGGTTCGCGGTGACGCCGAGTAAGGTATGACGCCTCTAGCGCCTCCCCCAGCCACTTCCGCCTCTCTTTCAGGGTTGATTGATTGCAGGGGACACACGGCTTCCACTTGAAATCTGCAACGGCGCCACGTGTCCACCATGGGTCCCGGTTTCGGAGCAAGGTTGCCCACACCATGTTCACGCGCCTCACTTGACCCATTGTCTTGCACATGTTGTGAAGGATGATGGAGCAAGACGCACCTGCAAGCACACGCCATCTGCCTTTGAGGGCGCCGATGCAGCGCTCTACCGCCATGCGCGTTGCGCTCTGGCAGTAGTTGAAGCACTGCTCCCAGTCTTCCATTAGGCCCTCACAGGGTGCATGTAGTGGGGTCAGGCAGAAATCTCTGAGTGGGTAGGCAGAATCCCCCACGATTTGATAAGGCGCTATGTCGCCGTTGTGCAACCTTTTGTGAAAACACTCTTCATGAACACCCTTTGATCGTGTGCGCTCTAGGGGTATCCGATCAGGTAGTCCCATATGATGCCACGTGCATCACATGTCACCTGCAGTTGCACCGCGTATGCAGACTTCCGCGTGTATTATTCCTGTCTGTGTCCCTCCATGCCTTTCATGTGTTTGCGTGTGCCGTTGATAGCCCCCACTACAGCAGGTACACCCTTGATGGCGCGCAATTCGTCGGCCATCTCATCCAGGTCATCACGGGTCGGGAAGTGGACCCACTGCTGCTTGAACACGGACGGGAATTGCATCAACCAGACGTCTACGAGAGCATGACAGAGGGACTTCGACAAGCCAAAAAGGTGACCAAGGTCCATGTACCACATTCCGCTTGCCAGGTAATTTATGGGTACCAGGTTCGCCACCTCGTGTGCGATGAAATAGCGTTCAATGTACGGCACCATGTAGTACTCCATGCCCTTCACGACGTACTCGAGTATCATACGATTTATGCGGAAAAGATCTCTGAACTCTGTCTCTCCCATGCCATGCAGGTCCTCCGCCGGCGGAGACTTGCCCGTCTAGTCCGTTCGGCCGACCTTTCGGAGCCCTGTGTGCTGGACGCCATGGACACCTCATTGGTGAAGACATCGGCTTCAAGCAGGCCGCCAACCGCTTCGGCAACGACGTCCAAAAAAATCGTGCTAGTAGGAATGACACAGCGCGAGGCTCTGCCATGGTTGCATCAGCTTCTAGAGTAGCTGTGTGTGTGTTTCAGAATTTCCGTGCATATTTGTACATGTGCAACAGCTGTGCACTTGTGTGTGTGCTGATCCAGACCAACATAGAGCGCTGGTTTCTGGCGCTTCATTTTCATAGCGCTGCCCGGCGGCAAAGCATACAGGCTCGACCCCTCAACGTACGGGCCAATAATATTGGGCCAACAGAACCTCCTAATCAGTCGCACAAAGTCGAGATACATCAGCTGCTTGTGACGCGCAAATTTACATTTACAGGAGCGACTCGGGAAAAGGGGGATTGAGACACAAATGTCGACGCATGAATGTTGAAGCGATGCACTAAGGGTACATTCATGCGTCGACATTTGTGTCTCAAAACGATGTAGCGCTCCTGTACCAGTATTGCGTTAAGCTCGTATAGAGCAAGCGGCAGCTCAAGAGTCACTCGAAGGTCAAGAGTCGCTAATAGTCAACGGTCGCGACTATTGACCGCCCAGTAACCATACTCGGAGGTTACACGATGCAACCTAGTAAATGTCGAGTAGAGTAATAGTTGTCAGACTTATATGATCTAGCCTGTGTAGGCTGTAGCGGGTTAGATACTAAGGGGTACATAATTCTAGGGTTTCACATTTGTATCACACTCATTCCTTAGTCATTCATTCTTGTTCACTTCAACATGGTATCGAGCAGGTTCCCTCATGGGAACTGTTCCTAGGGCCCACCATCTTTCTTTTCCTGCCCGGAGCACACTCAACCCCTGCCCGAGTCGCGCTCCCCTCTCACGGCCCCTAGTGGCCCCGTCGCGCCGCCCTTACGGCCCCGTCGCGCAGCCTTCGCGGCCCCCCTCACGTCGCGCCGCCCTCGCGGCCCCGTCGCGCCGCCCTAGCGGCCCCGTCGCGCCGCCCTTACGGCCCCGTCGCGTCGCGCCGCCCTCGCGGCCCCGTCGCGTCGCCCTCGCGGACCCGTCGCGCCGCTCTCGCGGCCCTGTCGCACCGCCCTCGCGGCCCCTTCGCGCCGCCCTCGCGGCCTATACACGCCGCCCTCGCGGCCTCTTCGAGCCGCCCTCGCGGCCCTCTTCGCGCCGCCCTCGCGACCTCGTCGTCTACCCTCGCGGCCCCGGCGCCGCTGTTACCGGACCCGGCGCCGCCCCTGCTGGCCTCGTCTCCCTACCTTCGCGACCCCACGGCCCCACCCTCGCGGCCCCGGCGCCGTCCCTTCGTCGCCGCCGCCTGCGACCGCGGCGCCGATCGCCACCCTTCGTGGCCCCGCCGCCGTCCCTTCAGTGGCTCTGCCGCCCTTCACGGCCCCGACGTCAGCACCGAGCACCGAGCCGCCGAGCCGCCGGCGCCGCCGAGCCCCAGTTGCCGCTGTTGCCGCCGAGCCGCCGTTGCCGCTGATCTGCCGAGCCGCCGTTGCCGCTGAGCTGCCGAGCCGCCGAGCCGCCGTTGCCGCCGAGCTGCCGAGCCGCCGAGCTCTCGTTGCTGCCGCTACTGCCGAGCCGCCCGAGCCGCCCTGTCTGCTCCGCCCGGTCACTGCCCGGTAAGAGCAGCGCTTCTACCACTGCTCTTAGCCTGCTGCTCGCGCTACTAGTCTACTGCTGTCATGGCTGCCCCTAGTGTCCTCGCTTTTGACGCTGAGGGTCGGGCCATTGACTTTGACGTCTGGGTAGATGACCTGCAGCTGTTCCTACAGTGCGATAGGGCAGACGGTCTCTCCCTCTTTGACCTCACTTCTGGTGCCTCTCCTGCCCCTGCTGCTGATGCTGACGCCACTGTTCGGTCACAGTGGGCCACTCGCGATGCTGCTGCCCGTCTTGCTGTGCGCCGCCACTTGCCCACCGCTGAGCGTGCACACTTTAGTCAGTACAAGAGTGCTAAGACCTTGTACGACGCTGTAGTTGCACGCTACTCTTCCCCTGCCACTGCTGCACTTAGCCGCCTCATCCTGCCGTACCTCTTCCCTGACCTCGCCGCTTTTCCCACAGTCGCTGACCTCGATACGCACCTTCGCACTAGTGACATTCGCTACCGCGCTGCCCTTCCTGCTGAGTTCTGTGCCAAGAACCCCCCCCCTATGTACATCACCCTCTACTACATAGTCACCCGGCTCCCTGACAACCTTCGCCCGGTCAAGGACCTCTTTCTCTCTGTTTGCCCCACCACCCTCGCCGTTGACCTCCTCGAGGAGCGCCTCCTAGCGGCAGAGAGGAGCATAGTCGCTGTAGGAGCCTCTCGTGGTGACCCACGTGCCCCTGTCTTTGAGGGGTGCTCCCCCTCTCCCCTCTTGCCCTCTGTTGCCTCTGCTCCTGCGGCCGACCTCGTTGGTCTCGAGTCAGTCGGTGCGGCGTCTGCCCCCAGCGGGAGACGCCGCACTGGCAAGGGCAAGGGGGGCAAGGGCGCTGGAGGAGCTAGCGGGGGCGGTGGAGGCGGCGGTGGAGACGGTGGAGGGGGTGTGGGTGGCGGTGGGATTGGTGGCGGGGGTGGGGGCGTTAGTGGCGGCAGTGGAGGCATAGGCAGTGGCGGCGGTGGCGGTGGGAGCGGAGGTGGCGGAGGTGGCGGCGGTGGAGGAGGTAGCGGAGGAGGAGGTGGAGCTGGTCGGGGTGGCGCTGCGCAGAGGGTCGGCTCCGGTGGTGGTCAGCGCCGGCAGCAGCAGCAGCAGCCCACTCGTGACATCCCCCCCCCTCAGCAGCTCTGTGAATGGTACGCTGCACGCCAGCGGGGTGGGGGTACTGGTCCGTGCACCTACGTCCTCCGCACCGGCGACCGCACGGGTGAGCAGTGTGGGGGTGCGCACTCCACCCAGCGCTGCTTTGGCCGCCTGACGGACGCTTGGCGTCACTAGTTCCCTGAGGCCACTGAGATCCCTCGCTGGGGCGAGCTGGCTAGGGCGGGGGTTCCTATCTTTGATCTTGATTATGATGCTATTCTTGCTGCCATGTATGCTGTAACTATTAGTGATGAGGGTGACTGTTACCGGTGTTTTCCGCCCGACCCGGGCATTGGGACTGCTGCTCTAGGTGCTGGTGAGGCTGCTGCTCTAGGTGCTGGTGAGGCTGCTGCTCTAGGTGCCAGTGAGTGTGCTTCCTCAGGTGCTGGTGAGTCTGCTCTCTCAGGTACCGCGTCGGCTCCGGCCTCTCACACCTTCACCCTTGACTCGGGGGCTTCCCGCTCCTTCTTTCGAGACCGCACCACACTCACGCCGCTTAGTCGGCAAGTTGCAGTCTCTCTGGCAAACCCCTCTGGGGGTCTTGTCCTTGCCCACTTCTTCACTTTCCTCCCGTGTCCGGCGGCCCCCTCTGGCACCCTGTCTGGTCTTTACCTCTCCTTCGTTCTCTACGAACTTGGTGAGTGGTGCTGACCTACAGGATGCGGGGGTTCACCAGTTCACTCCTGCGAGCCAGCGAGTGACCCACTGCACGTGTGCTCGGACGGGCCGACACTTGGCCACGTTTACCCGTCGGCCGAGGTCGAGCCTGTACACACTCACTACTGAGTCTCCTCTGGTCACTGCGTTTGGTCAGGTAGCTGCGTCGGGTCAGGTGTTTGCTGCAGCGTCCAGGTCTGGTCCTGAGTCTGCCCCCTGCTCATGTCCTCTCCTGTCTCACCAGACTCTCCTCTGGCACCACCGCCTTGGTCACCCCTCCCTGCCTCG